GCCTATAGGTCTGTTCACACCAGAAGTGATAACAATAAACATAACACTGACCATGTGTGTCATGACTTTTTCCAAAAGCGTCTCACATCAGGCTAGAAAGTTGGGAATTTGTTAATATAACCCAAACCCTAACCCAAATAAGGGCAAACCTAAAAATGGGTTAATTTTTAAAACTCAATTTGAATTACATTTTAACCCAGCTGTTGGGTTAGCCCATAAGTCTGTTCACACTAGAAATGATAACAATGAATTTAACAATAATCATATTTGTGTCATGACTTTTTCCAAAACCCATCACTCTAAATTAGTGCTTCTCAACCACGTTTCTGGAGGAGCACCAGCTCTGCACATTTCCATGTCTTCTTGATTCAAATCAAGCACACCTGATTCAGATCATCAGCTCATTAGCGGAGACTGAAAGACCTGTGATGGGTGTAACAGACAAAGGAGACATCCAATACATGAAGTGCTGGTGGACCTCGATGAACGTGGTTGAGAAACACTGCTCTAAATAATGCTGGGTTGTATTAATCTAAACCTTATCCAAACCTACGATTTTTAAAAATTTTTATTAATTCCTTTTCTTTTCAGCTTAATCCCTTTATTAATCAGGGGTCACCACAGCGGAATGAATCACCAACTTATCCAGCATATGTTTTACACAGCGGATGCCCTTTCAGCCTCAACCCAACACTGGGAAACACCCATACACTCTTGCATTCAAACACATTAATTTTTTATTGTATTCAATTTAAATGATTTTTTGACCCAGCTGTTGGGTTAGCCCACAATTGACCCAACGCTGGGTTAAAACAACCCAGCATTTTTTTAGATGCCTCAAACGGCATGATTTCGGATGAACCACTTGCCAGTTTAACAGAAGCCACGTATTTGGCAAATTGAACATGGTCAAAAGATCATATCTGCGCATTAATAATATAATAGTTCATAACAAATCACCTAAAATCAATTTCTCCCTTCACTTGTTTCAAACCTTTATGAGTTTTTTTCTTCTGTTGAACACACAAAGAAGATACTTTGAAGAAAGCTGTAAACCGGTAACCATTGACTTCCATATTATTTGTTTTTTTATATGGAAGTCAATGGTTACAGGTTTCCAGCATTCTTCAAAATATCTTCTTTAGCATTCAACAAAATCACTGAAACCATTTTCAAGTTGGATGAACTATCCCTTTAAGATGTAAAAACGAATATATAAACAAACAATGTCACCGTCACAAAACACAAAAAATTAAAAGCCTCAAATCTGAAGTGTTTCTAGTGTGTTTCAGGACATATTGCATTAGATTTAATGGTTTTACTAAGCCTCCAAAGAAAAGTACCAATAGAGACCCACAGGAACATTACGGTTTCAATTGAAACCAATACGATTATGACCATTGCAAAGTCTATTCTGACGCAAGGCAGTGTTATGATATGTTATGAAACCTTATAACACCTCTGAGGGCGTTTTGGCACACCGTTTGCCTTTACCTCCTTTGCACACAGTCAGCATACAGTTCCTTTGAGGGGCCGTTTCGAGAGTCACGTCCAAAATGAAACATTATTGCAGCAGCAGCAGTTTATAACATGTGCCTTTCTTAACTCTTGTGTATCCTCATGGCTATTTTTGGCCTTTTAGGTTTCGTGATCATTTTGACTGAGTTCATGCACTGAAAAGAAATGATTCATTGAATTTACACTTTTTTTTAAAAGGTAAGTGATTTAAAACATGGGCTAATTTTAAACAAATAAACTAAATTTAGTAATGTTCTATTTCATTTGTTTCAAATCAGCCCATTTGAACTGTTTGCAACCAAATAACTAACCGGGGAAAAAAAATACAACCAAAAAAAAAAAGATTGTAAATCCAATGAATATTTTTTTCCAGTGTGCAAACAGAATGCAACAGCATTCACAAGAATATTTATGTCCTTCACTCTAAAAATGCTTGATTTTTGTAACCCATTGGGTCAAATATGGACAAACCAAACTATTCAGTTTAAGTGTATTTTAATTTTAAAAGAAAAAATAATGACCAAATAATGGATTTGCCCATGCTTGACTCAAGGTTGTGTTGCGACAACACAGCATTTATTTTTAGAACTGTGTGAAACTAGTCATGACAGTTATCCTGATTTCTGCTTTTCAGCAAAGTAGTTTTGTTTAAACGGTAGTGACCCTGTAAAATAAATAAATAAATAAATAAAAATAATAATACTAATACAGTTAAAGACAGAATTATTAGCCCCCCTTTGAATTTTTCTTTTTTTACTATTTCCCAAATGATGTTTAACAGAGCAAGGAAAGTTTTACAGTATGTCTGATAATATTTTGTCTTCTGTAGAAAGTCCTATTTGTTTTATTTCGGCTAGAATGAAGCAGTTTTGATTTTTTTTAAACACCATTTTAAGGTCAATATTATTAGCCCCTTTAAGCTGTATATTTTTATATAGTCTACAGAACAAACCATTGTTATACAATAACTTGCCTAATTACCCTAACCTGCCTAATTAACCTAATTAACCTAGTTAAGCCTTTAAATCTCACTTTAAGCTGTATAGAAGTGTCTTGAACAATATCTAGTCAAATATTATTTACTGTCATCATGGCAAAGATAAAATAAATCAGTTATTAGAGATGAGTTATTAAAACTATTATGAATAGAAATGTGTTGAAAAAATCTGCTCTCCATTAAACAGAAATCGGAGAAAAAGATAAACAGGGGGTCTAATAATTCTGACTTCAACTGTATGTATACACACACACACACACACACACACACACACACATATACATATATATATATATATATATATATATATATATATATATATATATATCAGTGTTCAATAATAAGTTGAACATAACAAAGAAAATACCTGTTTCCTAGCCAAATATTTTAAATATTATGTCAAAAATCTTAACTTTAAATATTTTAAAAATGTTAATAAATGATCAAAATTCAAAGGGTTATGCAAACAAAAAGAGCAGTATAGGAAATGTTGAGGTATTTTATTGCAGTTCTAAATAATTTAACAAAAGGCAATGTACTCGCGTAAATGTCTGCTTCAATACATTAGAAACAGACGTTTTCTTTTAGCATCATAATTTGATGTTGCCACCATGTTGCCATCTCTTCGCTATAATGGTTGTTACCAGGTTATGGGAAAACAATAACATGCTCACAACATCCAATCAGATAAGAGAAACTGAAAAGTAGTATGATGTTTACGACATCACAGAGATGGCGGCATTTAAAGGGTTAAAAGCACAAACTGTTTCTATATTCTAAGACTAATTATTTGTTTGTAATTGACAAATAGTCGTAGGCAAATTAAATTGGCCAGTAACGATCCTGTTTACTGTCCAAGCATCTTTCACACTGGCCCCGGGCCATCGGGCAGTCATTGTTGAGCCCTCTATATATCAAAATAATAATTGAAAAAAATGAATAGTTTCTGATAATTGACATATTCAAGACAGTACACTCTATGTCAGATATGAACAAAGCCAAGAGTTGCTTGAAAAATGTCATTAAATTTGAATTAAATTTAATATGAATAACTAACCCAACTTTGGTTATGTCCATATTTGAGCCAACATTGGGTTAATATCAGCCAGCATTTTTTAGAAGGTAAAAGTTCTGAAAAATCTGCATAGCTGTCAATATATACACTCTCAGGTCACTTTATTAAGCACCTTACTAGTACCCGGTTCCCCTCTTGGCTTCAGAACTGCCTTAATCCTTTGTGGCATAGATTCAACAAGATACTGGAAAATTCCTCAGAGATTTTGGTCCACATTAGCATGATACCATTTGTAGGCTGCATATCCATGATGGCACTCACTCGTTTCACCACATTCCAAAGGTGATCCATTAGATTGAGCTCTGGTGACTGTGGAGGCCATTTGAGTACAGTGAAGTCATTGTCATGTTCAAGAAACCAGTCTGAGATGATTCGCGCTTTATGAATAGGCGCGTTATCCTGCTGGAAGTAGCCATCAGAAGATGAGTGCACTGTGGTCATAAAGGGATGGACATGGTCAGCAACAATACTAGTAGGCTGTGGCATTGACACGATGATCAGTTGAAACTAATGTGCCCAAAGTGTGCCAAGAAAATATCCCCTCACTATTACACCATCACCACAAGCCTGAACCGTTGATACAAGGAAGGATTGATCAATGCTTTCATGTTGTTGATGCCAAATCTGACCCTACCATCCAAATGTCGCAGCAGAAATCGAGACTCATCAGACCTAGGCAATGTTTCTCCAATCTTCTATTGTACAAATTTGGTGAGCTTGTGAGAATTGTAGCCTCAGGTTCCTGTTTTATGCTGACAGGAATCAGTCCTGTGTAGCCCATCCACCTTAAGGTTGGACGTGTTGTGTGTTCAGAGAAGCTCTTCTGCAGACCTCGGTTGTATCGAGTGGTTATTTGAGTTACTGTTGCCTTTCACTGGCCATTCTCCTCTGGCATCAACAAGGCATTTGCACCCACAGATCTGCCGCTCACTGGATATTTTCTCTTTTTCAGACCATTCTCTGTAAACCCTAGAGATGGTTGTGCGTGAAAATCCCAGTAGATCAGCAGTTTCTGAAATACTCAGACCAGCCCGTCTGGCACCAACAACCATGCTACATTCAAAGTCACTTAAATCCACATTCTGAGGCTCGGTTTGAACTGCAGCAGATCATCTTGACCATGTCTACATGCCTAAATGCACTGAGTTGCTTCCATGTGATGATTAGAAATTTACATTAACAAACAGTTAAACTGGTGAACCTAATAAAGTGGCCAGTTTGTATTTATATTTTACTATATGATTTTGAAGTTCATTTAATTTGTGCTGATTCTGGTAAAGAAATCTGACAGCGAAAGTGTAAAAATATCTATAAATATAACACTTTCATGATGTACATTGATCTGACCTCTGTGGACGTATATGTAACTTTTTTTACCAGACACACAAGGGTTAAAGGGACAGTCTCAAGTCATTTAAAAAAAATGTTTGCTTAATTTAAAAAAAGACAAATATTACACTTCAGTCAATCATTTACTCTCCATAAAGCTGCTCCTAACCTGCATTGATTTCTTTCCTCAGCTGAACACTGAAGATGACATTTTGAAGGTTGCGGGTAACCAAAACTGGCTTCCCTGGTATGAAAAAAAATCATACACTACTGAAGTCAATGGGAACCAGCAGCTGCATGGCTAACCGCACTTTTCCGAATACCTTCTGCAGAATATCAACACCATACAGGTCATGTGCAAACTCACGGTGAGCAAACTATGACAGGATTTCACTCTATATAAAATGTGCAAAAAAGCAAAACTCCTTATCTGACGATTTCCATCAGGTCCATCTCCATGTTCCATTTTTGACTTGAAGTGCATTCAAAGAAGCCTGTACATTTTGTTAGCATGCATTTTCCTCAGGAACTGAAACCAGGAATTGCTGGTCCTGTAAGTCACGACGTACCATCACTTGTGATTTTCAGCCTTGTGATTCAACCTGTAACCTTTTCAAAGGCCAGAACCAAGTTCATGCCAGAAAGCACATGCTCAAGTTCTCACTTTCCGGTAGCTGGCACGGGGAAACTCAAGCTCAGTTCCTCGTCGGCCTGTTCCTGTGTGCTCATCTGTATCCGGAGCTCCTGCAGGGGTGGATTTGACTCTTGCTGTGGTGTGCTCATAAAGGGAACGGCTTCTTCACAAACCCCTGCATCTTCCTTTTTATCACCCGAACCGGAGCCCAAAATCACCATTCCAGGAGAGTAGATGTAGATGGAGCCTGGAAGAGACAAACTATGATGAGCTTACGGTTTTTCAGCCTACAGGGGTGGGCAAACTCGGTCCTGGAGGGCCGGTGTCCTGCATAGTTTAGCTGCGACTCTAATCAAAAACACCTCAACATGCCAATCAGTAGCCCCTTTTACACATACAGACATTTGGGAAATTTACCGGCAATTTTCCGGGAAGGTGTGTATGTGTGAACAGGTCCTTTTTGAAAATATCGGTAAATTCATTCTGGCTATTTTCCGGAAAGGGAAGTTGTAACATTAGCCCCTTTCACACACTGATACCAGTAAATATCTGGAAAATTACCGCAACGACTTTACCAGTAAATTCAAAATAGCGCTGTTCACACAGACGAGGACATTACGGAATTTTTCCTGGAAAAGAGCATTCACACATCCTTTCCAAAATACCGGTAAATTCTGACATCATTAACCAGAAAAGAGCTCTAAAAGGCTGCGCTTGTATTTGTAAACATTTCACTACATCACAAACTCTTTGGATAATCAGTATTGTGAACAACTTCGATGAAAACATACAGAAGAACACTTTCGCATGTCGAGATGTTCATGATATGTGTGTGTGCTGGCGCTCACGGGCTGTTTCACGGGCACATGCAAGGTTGAAGGTAAACAAACAGCGGCTTATCATAAGCATCTTATCGATGATTATTTACACAGTTGGCATTAAGATGAACATATAAACGTTATCTGACTAACATCTAGCAGCTAAATGTGTCTTGGAAAATATTCAAAAGCTTTTATTCCCATAAACCGCGTGTACGTGAATGCATCTGACTGTTGTGATTGGCTAAAGCAGACGTCTCACGTCAGCACGTTCTAGACGTGCACACGCTCTTTTCGGCAATCTTCCTTCTGCGTTCACACAGTGCAGCATTCCGGCAAATTATCGGTTATATTATATCGGTTATCGGGTAAATTATCGGTTAAAAGGACCTGTTCACTCATACAGACCTTTCCGGAAAATTGCATGACAACACTAGTCACAGTTATAGTAAAGATTATTGTAGGCATTGAAAGCAATATGGGTGATTCTTTTGCATGTATATTTGACATTTCAAAAAGGTGAGGAATAAAACTCTTTAAAAACAGCAATTATTTCCAGAATCTTATTGTAAGCATATTTAATTTTTATAATTCAGCTTTTTTCCAAACATAAATGATTAAATGTTTTACTTTTAGGGAAATAAACAGTTTTTCTATTGTTTGGGAAATCTGCTTTGGATGATTTGGTAATGAATAGAAATAATAAATCATAGCAAGAACAATTCTTAAGGGTAGTTACTAAATTGTAAATGAATTGACCATAACAATGTTATTATTTTTATTTTTATTTATTTATTTATTTATATTTTTTTGGCCCACCTGGAATGTCACTTGGCCCACCCTAAAGTTCCAATCTGTAGCCGGACCTGTTTCCCCATTCAGACAGAATGCCCGAGTATACTGCCTGAGAGGCGTTTTAAAGATGGCCGCTGAGTGAAATGACTTTCCTTTAGCATTGACTTTTCTTCAGAGTCGTTTTCATATAAACAAGTATGTTCACTTAGCATAATTCCTAAATATCCGCAAACACATTAAGAGCCTTTTATGCTTCAGAAGTGTAGAAAACTTACATACAGCACCTTTTAAGCCTGTATCAACTAATTGCAAGTATATTCTGTGATGCATTGTGGGACTTTGCTCTTCACAAAGCATGAAACGACACGTTAACCTTTACCCTAAGCTATTTTAAGACATCATTTTGTTTCTCACTGACTTTTGAAGCGGTCTTTAAATGAGAAGTTAGTTTTAAAATAGTCTCAGACAGAGAGGAAGCAGGAACCAAACTTGTGTGTGTTGCACAAACTCCAACAAGAGCAGTAAAAACATTGCTTTATGCTCTGTTATGCCTCCACTGTTTCTTTGTTTAGTTTACCATAAGTTGCATTTAATCGTTTGGGTGTTTTTGTTATTACAGGCTCTTGGCAATTGACTTGAGAAGGAAATCCAAAACAAATGTTGCAAAAAATAAAAACCCCAAATGAACAGGAAGTGAAAATGGGAATTAAGACAATGGAGGAGGCGCGAAGATGTGCTGTGACTCATGTTGAGGAAATATTTTTCTGCTCCATTGAAGTTAATCACATATGAACAATGATGATAACAATAAAAATTATACAAACTGTTGCCAAATATTTCTGGCTTGTGCATTGTTAGTTTGAGATAATACGAGTAGCTTGTCGTAATTTAATCATGAGACCATGAGTCATTTTTCTGCCATGAAACTTCTATAAACGGAAATTACTACAAATAGTGCAAATAAATACTAGTGCAAATAAAATAAAAGAAACATAAATAAATAAAAATGAATAAAATAAAATATAAAATGAAATGAATTAAAAAATTAAATAAATAAATAAATAAAATAGAATTTTTTTTTATTTTAATTCAATAAAAAAATGTTTTAAATAAAGTAAAAAAATGTATTATAAAATAAAATTAAAATTAAAATAACAAAATAAAATAAAAAATAAAATAACATAAAAAATAAAAATAAATAAATAAAATATAAAAAAAAATCAAATAAAAAAAAATTTAAATGAAAATGAAATACAAATAAAATAATAATAAAATAAAATAAAATAAACAAAAAATGTAAAAAAAATAAATACATAAAAATAATACAAAAATAAAATAAATAAAATATTTTTTGTAATAAAATAAAACAAAATGTAAAAAAAATTAAAATTACAATAAGATTTTTTGTAAAAATAAAATAAAACAAAATGTAAAATAAAAAAATTAAAAGAACATAAAATCAACATTATCAATGCTGTAAAAGGTCCCTTATAGAACTGAAAATAGTCACATCTATGGCATGAAGATTTCAATGACTGAACAACACTTGAAAACACTCTCCATCAGCTTTGGGGGACTAAAATAGATTTAAAGCATAACATTACCTGTCTAACAGAAATACTTCAGCCATGGTGTCCTCCTTCCTCCAGCGTGCAAAACTAACTCCGATATTGATTCGGGATTTTAAAAAGTTGATTCAGCATTGTCAGTGCTGTCACTCTCTCGTGTGCACGTGAATGCGGCGGGTCTGTGTGAACCGCTGTGCAAATCTACTTTTGTTGACAGTTTGGACTACTTAACAGAATTATGGGAGATATCAGCCCGATACTATTTTAATTGGAAGAACATTTATTAGTTTTATGCGTCACCCAGAATATAAAAATACATATAAACACATTTACTTTATTCATCACTATTGGATTGTGAAGAGACTTTCAACCAGCACAACAAAAAAAGTTTCTGAAGACAGTCACCTACTGCACCTTAAACTGTAATGATTACCGGCTTTTTTATGCAGGTATTTTCAGCAATAGAAAATTTACCCTTTACTGTAGTCAAAAACAAGTGCTGACCACTGATTAAACACTGATGAAATACTGCACACTGATGAGGGAAAACCCATATGTTCACAAAGTTTGTGATGAAGATGAGGTTGTTTCCTTATGCAAAATACATTTGAGGATTGAAATCAAATTTAGCTGCTTTATTTTAGAGGTTTAATGAAAAGTGGATCATTTTTGACCTTAAGGATGAACGGTGCATACAGAATTCTAAGACAACAGGACGGTTAAAGGTGTGTGTTTTCTCAGCATTAGTATATTTGTAAAATGTGCCCAACACTGACATCGTTTTTAGCCTGAAGTGTCGTAAAGCACTCACCTACAGTGTTGCTGACGTTCTCACCCTTCCCTTTGTGCTCCATTGTGACCTGCTGCACGCCTCCAGATGGGGGCGCCGTCCTTGACCTCTGACCTTTGACCTCTCTGACATCGCCACCCAACGGCATCTCATCCTCCCCGGTACAATCCATTAAAGCATAAGCCTGAAAGTCCATCTGTCCGCAGCCATGCTTGTCATCCTACAGTCAGCGTGAAACAAAACCAAAGGGGAATTCTCACTTCAGTGCTTTATTTATATGAAGTTAACGTAATGTATTACAGAGAAAGTACTTACGTGCTTTCCGTTTATAAAACCTAAAAAGAAAATGAGAAATAAGTGAATGTGGTGCGTGTGAGACGGCTGTACAATGCATGTTTGGGCGTTTCAGTGGTTTCTCAGCTTGTCATATAAGTGAATGCATGTCATTCTGAAACACTGCCACTGCTTACATTGACTTCAACATTATAGGAATTAAAGCATTGAGAACCAATGCTATCAGCTTTACTGTAATAAGTAAACAGGGTGGATTCCTGGCTGATTATACATGACAATAATATCTCACTTCTCAAAATTCTAACACAGAGTCATCGCAGGGTTTGTTTAGCTAGTTGTATTCATTTGGAGCCAGTTGCATGCTGAAGCATTGATGAGAGACTTAAGAATGAGTCGTACCAAAGCATTTTGAAAGGGTTTTCTTTGTCTTGCCTTTCAGCAGCACACAGAATCCAGTCATGCACAAGATAAGCATCAGTATGATGAAGAGCATGAACCACTGGGTCTGGTTTTCTTTCGGCATGTGTACGGGAGATGCGGTGCTCCCTGCTGGTTTGAAAGGGAAACACAACACAAATATAAACACTAAATTAAAAAGTGAAATAAAACACAACGTAAATAAACTCAAAAATATAATTACATTTATTTAATAGTAATTAATATAATAAATGTATTAAATTAATTCAAAATAACATAGAAAGCCATAATGTTAAAAGCCAAAATATAAATTTTATGGATTAGTTCACTCCAAAAATTTTTATTATGTTATTATTATAATTTTTAAAATTATTTTTATTATTTGCTTTTATTTTTTTCTTATACTCGTTTCTTTTATTCTTGTTTATGTAAAGCACTTTTAATTGCCACTGTGTATGAAATGTGCTATATAAATAAACTTGCCTTGCCTATTAATTACTCATGCTCTTGTCATTTCAATTCCCTGAGATCTTCAGAACACCAAATAAGATATTTTAGATGAAATCAGAGAGCGCTCTGATATGGAGCCAGGTTAGTCTCAAAAACAATGCATCTATTCATTCATTTTGAATGCTTCCCGTGCATTCACATGAGGCTTCAACGTTAACACTTGACCGAGGGCTTGTCTAAAGTTAGGGCTGATGCGATCGTCATAGCAGCATCAGCCAATGAAATTACTCCACAATCAGCTGCTGTCTGAGCTGGGGTATTTGCTTCTAATCAAATCACAGCTGATCCAACTAATCGCAGTGTTCAAGACTACTAGATCAGCTGTGTTTAATTAGGGTTGCAGCAAAACTGTGCAGAGCTGCGGCCCTCCAGAAATTGAGTTTGAGACCTATGCTCTATATATAATTTGGTGCAAAGATTATATAATAAAGTAAAGTATAATAAAGTGTAGCTTAAAAAAGGTACATACTTAAAAAAAAAAAATTATCTAAATATTAAATCCATTTTAAGCATTTAAGATGCCTACGCTGATGACTGTTAAATGCATCATAACTGAAAAGGGTACATCATGGAAAACCACTAAGCCACCAAATTTTATTTCGTAAATGTATTATTTTGGCGGCATGGTACCTAGGTGGTTAGCACTGTCACCTCACAGCAAGAAGGTTTTAAGTGTCCTCCTTTTCTGGACTCTAAACATCTCAGGATCTCATCTAAATATCTTAATTTTTGTTTTTAAGATCAACAAAAGTCGCAGAGGATTGGAACGATATTAGGGCAAGAAATTAATAACAGAATTTAAATATTTGGGTGAACTAATCTTTTAATCAAAAGAATCAAAATGCATGATTATACATCAAATATTTTAGATTAGGTTATGCATTTATTATTTTAAAAAATTCTAATCACAGCTAAAAAGTATTTACCCACATAATCATTACTATAAAGACTTACTATTGAGGCCACGATTAACTTGGTGATTCGTATTACTGTAATTATAGGTTAAAAAGCTAAACAAATACATTTACATAGCAGTAAAATAAACATTAAAGATGCAGTATGTAAGTTTGACACCCAGTGGTTGAACTAGGTATTGCACTCCCGGATCAAAACACGTTCACTCGACTCCTCTGATGAGTCCACTCAAGCACAGGTTGCAAGATTGACATGAGTGTACCTGACTATGAAGAATAAAGGCTGATTTAAACCTTTTTCTAACTAAAAGCAATGACACGTGATAGAAGAAATATTTTCCATACTAAAATAGAGTTTTTGTCTTAATCAACACCTGAAATTTATATTTTAGAAATAGGTGAACAATAGGATAAACTATGATCACCTCAGGTGCACCTCATGTGCTTTATTTAGTATTTAATGCTAATAATGTGAGTTTGAATGTCATTTTATATGACATTTATTGCCATACTACTGAAAGCAGCAGCAGATAGTTCAACTCAGATCTTGAAGATAAAATAAACCGAAAATGAACCTTAGAACTTTCGTCAGGTGGACTCTATCTCCAATTTAAAATCCCAGGTTAAAACCTTTCTGTTCAGGATTGCTTTTAATGACTTAATGGATTAATACTATGTTTTTTTACTCTTCTGTCTTGTTTTTATAATGTGCCTGTGACATACTGTAAGGTGTCCTTGAGTGCTCTGAAAGGCGCCTATAAATAAAAGGTATTATTATTATTACTAACTGTGACTCAGTCAAACCAAAACATATCAATCATTCAGCATGTACATATAATAATGTTTAATGATGTTTAAAATGTATTAATTAGATTGTAAACTTTACCATTTCGTTGGAGTGCAGAGTGCACTATTCTGTGCTTCTGAATGGCTGTATTTAAATGTCTGTTGTGTTTTGTCTGGTGCAAACAGCCAAATTGCTTATTACTGCTAATCTCGTAACATAGTATGTTGTTAGGACATGTTGTAACCTGCTCACCTAATGTTTATGTTTGTGATATTTATATTATTTTCTAATTGATAACCTCATGTGGAACTCTGAATCTGCGTCTCATTTCTGAGTCACATTTTCAGTCACGGGCGCATTCCACCAAAGGCAGCCCAGAGTGCTAAAATATAATTGGCTAAAGTGGCAGTGGGCGGGTTAAAAAACCCAAAACAAGGACAGACATTCCAGCACGTAACAAACCTTTTCAAAGCGGAATATCTGACTTCATTGTTTTTCAGATAAACAAGAATGTTCACTTAGCATGTTTCTGAAATATCTGCAAACATATTATGGTATTTATGCTTTAGGAGAGTCAAAAACTTACATACAGCACCTTTAACTGAAAACAAAATTCTTAAGTGAAGTTTCTTAAACTAATTTTCAGAGGAGCACATGATAGGATTGACTACAGCTGATTCCTATCACTAAATCACTAACTAGCCAATTGGATCACTCTAAATTCAATGTAAATATCCAGCCTATACTTCCTTGCGGAACCCCCCATCCATCCCTTCTCCCTCCTTCTCAATTCTAAGTTCTGGCGACACGATGGCTCAGTGGCTAGCAAGGAGGTCATTGGTTCAAACACTAGCTGAGCCAACCGACACTCTCTGTGCGGAGTTTGCATGTTCTTCCGTGTTCGCGTGGGTTTTCCCCGGGTACTCCGGTTTCCTCCCACACTCAAAAACCATGCAACAAAAGTTAAAGTCACAAGCACTTATTACAAACTAGTGCAGTTAGTGGTCTATTCTTGGGAAGTTACCAAGAACTACCTGATCTCATATCCCTCCTAGTGCTTATTGACCAGGCAGGAGCCTTGGACTCATCTATCTCCGAGCTCAGGGTTCTCTCCCGGGACAGCATGCCAAACTTGTTTAAATAGTCAAGCATTATCTAAATGTGAACTCTTGAACTTGCTTTTTGAGTTACAAATATTGCCAGTGAGTATAGTGTTATGATTTTGTCTGTACCTTTGCTTGAGACGGCAATAGCATTGGAAGAGATAATGTCAGTAGAGAAGCTGGAAGTAATGGTCGTGGAAGAGAAATTGGCACTGGAACTGGAAGAGTTGGCTCTATTGTCTTTGGAAGATCTGGTTGTACTGGTATTGGAAGATATAATGGCACTGGATGAGCTATTAGTAATGGCATTGGAAGATTTAGGGGCACTTGGGGAACTGCTAGTAATGGTATTGGAAGGGTTGGTGATTATGTCATTGGAAAAGCTGGTTGTTGAGTGTTTGGTTGTGGCTGGGGCTGTTTTTGTGTCAGACACACACTCTCTGTCCTGTGTCGTTGAGCCCTCTTTGAGCACTTTCATTCCCAATTTTTCACAACTGCAGAAAAGGGCACAGAAGAAATGCATTAGGTCACAACAGCTCTACGTTTTTCATTAAGTAGACTACTCATAATAGTACATTTTATTTATGACGCTTTTTTTAAAGCTCAAAGCGCTGCGATGTATACAACCACAAATAAAAATGCAACCCTTAAAGCTTACATAAAATCCAAGTGACAAGCCAAAGAAAACACCGCAATAATCAATAAAGCAGATTGTAAGGCAGCATTGGTTTGACATTCCTCAAATGCTCTGGTTAAAGAAACAGTTCACCCAAAATTACAATTTACTCATCATTTGTGACCCTGGACCACAAAGCTGGCCTTAAGTTGCACAGGCAAGTGGGAATAACCAACAACACACTGTATGAGTTGAAATGGTCAGTTTAACTTTTATGCCAGAATTCATTAGAATATTAACTAAAGATCAAGTTCCATGAAGACATTTTTACATTTATTATTAGTAATGCACAGTTGAAGTCAGAATTATTCGCCCCCTTTGATTTTTTTTCTTTTTAAAATATTTCCCAAATGATGTTTAACAGAGCAAGGCAATTTTCACAGTATGTCTGATAATATTTTTTCTTATTATTTGTTTTATTTTGGCTAGAATAATATTTTTTCTTCTAGAGAAAGTCTTATTTGTTTAATTTCGGCTAGAATAAAAGCAGTTTTAAATTTTTTAAAAAACATTATTGGGACAATATTATTAGCCCCCTTAAGCTAATTTTTTTTCCGATAGTCTACATAACAAACCATCGCTAAACAATAACTTGCCTAATTATCCTAACCTGCCTAGTTAACCTAATTAACCCAGTTAAGCCTTTGAATGTCACTTTAAGCTGTATAGAAGTGTCTTGAAAAATATCTAGTCAAATATTATTTACTGTCATCATGGCAAAGATAAAATAAATCAGTTATTAGAGATGAGTTATTAAAACTATTATGTTTAGAAATGTGTTGAAACCATATTCCCTCCGTTAAACAGAAAATGGGGAAAAAATAAATAGGGGGGCTAATAATTATAATAATTATGACTTCAACTATATATATACATATATATATATATATATATACATATATATATATATATACATATATATATATATACATATATATATATATATATATATATATTTCTTATACATTTTATATTACATATTACAATTTTGGATATTATATAACATTTTGTATCAGAATATTAAAGAAGAAATTTGTTTAAATGTGATTGGTGCCTGCTAAAGGCTATAATAAAATAAATAAATAAATATATATAAATATATATATATATATATATATATATATATATATATATATATATATATATATATATAACATGTTTTCTGTCCTTTTTGTGTTGAATTACTTAATTTTAAATCTTGCTTCATAGTATTGTCATTTAAAAAATGTAATTTAAACAACAATATTGAACAAGAAATTTACTAGCTGATTTAACAAGACATAATTTTGTTAAAATAAAGCTTTAATGTTACATTGAGTAAATTAGAATCATTTTAATTAGAATAACACAATACAAACATTTTGAGTCAATTAGTTGCAAAGAAGTTAGACTGACATATTGAAACCATGTTTTATCTACAAATGTGCTTTGTGTTCATACAACATGTTCAAAGCAGTTCAGGTTTACTTGATTGGATTAGATGCATAAAGGGTGCCACGATTAAATCATGTTCATTTAACAAAATTTTTTTTTTGAGTGATGTGGTTGGATCGTAGTGTTACCTTTAAACTAAGTTCAGTGGTGCAACACAAAAATATTTAGTAAGATGTAACTTAAGAGACCCTTTAAGTAGGCTATGTTTTAACTGCTGGTGCAACCGGCCCTTTACAATGAATAAAATATGAATATGTGACAATGTTTTATTACAGATTGAACTATCTGAACTGAAATATTATATGAGAGGCAACAATTGTACTATCATCATATGTGAGCAGTTACTTTAGCAGACATTTATAAATTGTAAAATCAAAGATGCTACAAAATTGAATAAGCATTTAAGACATTTTAGTGCTTTTTTAAACGCCCTATAAATCGATTGATCAACTTTTAATACGTTTTAAAGACACCCTGAATTATGACCCTTATGGTTTTTAGGTCCAGGGTCACATTTATCCATTCACAAGTGAGTCTGCTTTTTTGTTCTGTTAACACAAAATGTAAAGAATGTTGAAAACCCGGTACATGGAAAAAAAGGCACGATTGAAATCTGTTTCCAACACCAAAAATATCTTCCTTTATGTTCAACAAAAGAAAGAAACTCACACAGGTTTGGGAGTTGAAGCGAAGGTTTAGTAAATGTTAACAGAAGTTTCATTGTTAGGTGAACTAAACTTGAACCTTCCCAGAGAGAATAATAAACGTGACCATCAACGTTGATAATTTGCTTATGCAAATGCGATTGCACTTTGTTCTGTTTGTTATTTCTTTGCACCAGATATTATAGCCTCCAATACATCTATAGTAGCCAACATTTAAAGTGGATCAAAAACGTTAAGACAAAAATGGGTGTTCTTTAGTAGTTTTAGGACAACTTTGATGAAAGGTTTTAATCCACTTCAAATGTTGACTACTGCAGCTCTAAATTGACAATAAGCCAAATATAGTACTATAGTGAACACTGAAGTTGCATGGTAAACAGAATGGCAAGATGAAACCTCAGAGATATAAAATGTGTAAGAGATAAAAATCAGTGAGTGAGAAAAAGAGAGAGCTAAAAAAAAAAAAGGTCAAACTGTTCAGCGTGTGTCCTAAAATGACTCTCACACTCATTCTCTGTCATGTCTTTAATGTTGACATATGAAGGAATAGCTGTTAAATAAATATAAAAATGCTAAATATTGTTCTATATATGCATTTTTGTGTTTGTCATTTGTAGATAAATCACACAGTTACATGGGTTTTTTTAATGCTCTGAAATACGTAAAGGAATATTTCACCCAAAAAGGAAAATGAGCTGTTAATTTACTCATCCTCAGGACATCCGAGAAGTAGGTGATGTTTTTGTCTTCCGAAGAAGAAGATTTCTATAGCAGAATCTGTAGTCTTTGGTGATTCATAAAATGCACATCAACGGTTACAGCCAATTTCAGTATCCAAAAGCATATTTCAGGCAACACCTGGAGTTCCTGATTATACACTGGGTTTTTCTAAAGCAACATAGTCCGTTTTATGAATCACCAATGACCATGATTGCAGATTAAATACTCTTTAAAGTTCTATATAGAAAAAAATCATCTTAAGTTACTCTTTGATAGTCTAAAAGTTGTTGGTTAGTTAACAACAATTTTATTTTTGTGCAAAAGGAGAATCTTTTTTGCAAAATGTTAAAGGGATAGTTCAAACTAAAATTAGAATGTAATCACTATTTGTTCATCCTCAGGAGTAGTAGGTGACATTTTTTTCACTTCTGAAGATGTTTCTATAGCAGAATCTGTAGTCCTTTGTGATTCATAAAATGCAAGTCAATGGTTACAGCCAATGTTAGTATCCAAAGAACATATTCAGGCAAAGCAAACTAATACCTGTGGTTCCTGACTATATGGTTTTGCTTAAGCAAAACAGTTCATTTTATGAATCCACAACAACCAGGATTACAGATTTAAAAAGTCTTTAAAGATCTTTGAAGGAAAAGATCATCTTAAGTCACTCTTTGATAGTCCAAAGGTGCTAGGTTAATTAATTATCATTTGATCTTTTATTGTGCAAAATGTGGAATTTCTTGCTAAATGTTGAAGGGAAAGTTCATACAAAAATTAAAATGTAATCACAATTTGCTCATCCGTGTAGTAAATGATGTTTTTTTCACTTCTGAAGAAGTTCTTATAGCAGAATCTGTAGTCCTTGGTGATTCAAAAATGCAAATCAACGCTTAAAGCCACTTTCAGTATCCAAAAGCATATTCAGGCAAAACAAACTAATATCTATAGTTCCTGACTACACACTGGGTTTTTACGCTGTTTTCATCTACTTTTATATTATATGTTTTTATTTTATTTATACTTTTGTTTTCTTTATTTATATATCTTTTATTCCTGTTTATGTAAAGCACTTTGAATTGCCACTGTGTATGAAATGTGCTATATAAATAAACTTGCCTTGCCTTTTATGAAGCAAAACTAGCAGAAACAGCAGAAATAGCAGAAACGTTCGAGGTTACTAAAGTAACCCTTCGTTCCCCGAGGAGGGGAACGGAAGCACTATAAGTGGATTTGATTTGTAAAATCCACGCATTGGGAGGATTCGGATCAGAAGCCGCTTGTCTGGAGAGTATTGAACGGGCCATTGAATGAAATTAATTGGCAGCGTAAGCTTGCGCAGGTGTGCGACATCTGCAATTATCTCAGCATATAAGCACACCTGAAGCCAGCAGACGCCATCCTTTTAAGCTGAAGAGACTTTCAAACAGCAAAGGGACAGTCATTATGGCGACGGAGTATAGTGCTTCCGTTCCCCTCCTCGGGGAACGAAGGGTTACTTTAGTAACCTCGAACGTTCCCCTTCGGGGGGAACTCCAGCACTATAAGTGGATTTGATTTGTAAAATCCACGCATTGGGAGCCCATTGAAAGCGCCATAATGACTGCACCTTACCAACACCCCCGATGAGGAGATAGTCAAGCAAGCGTGACGCACCCACATCATGGGGGGCGCGGTCCTCCAACGTGTCCCTGGCCCTAATTCATCCTACTTCAACAGAAGTTTTACGGATTTAGATATATTTTTTGGGAAGTCGTGAGCATCTAGTTAATTCTAGGAAATACGACAGTACGTTGGGAAGCGTGCAATCCCGATAGGGAGGACGCTGCGGAGGCCATCCGTTACCCAAGGGGGGATAGATGGCAGAATTTACATATGGACTAGCCCTAAAAAGGGGGAGTACGCATAGCAAAAGAGTGGTTAGCGGAGAGGGAAGACACGGGTCCGCCCAGGGGGGGGACTTAACCGTGGCGGAATAAGCATATGGGATCGCCTAGTGGGG